CCAGAATTCCCCAGCCAGCGAATGCTGGCTGGGGAATTCTGGGAGTTGAAGTCCAGACATCTTCAAGTTGCCAAGGTTGAGAAACACTGCTCTATGAGGTGGTGAAATTTAATATCCCACCCCCACATTTTCCAGTTTCTTTGTGTCTGCCCATATCAGAAACTAGATCTAGTCTGTAACCTTTAATGTATATCAGGCTCCTAATTAGTTGGTCAATCCTGCACCTGTTAGGAACTTAGTGGTTAGGGACTACTGGGCTGCTTCAAGTCTCCAGCAGAGGGGAAGTTGGGTTGAAGTCCCCCAACCTTACAATCCCAGGGACTGAAAGAAAGCAAGTGAGGGGATGATTTTCAGTAACACATTTCAATAAGCCATAGCTTGTCAAATGAACTACATTGTCCAAGTTTACACACAACACCAAATCCCAGTCTTTGATTTACCAACCACAATAGCCAATCAAACCATGACAAGGCTTAGTGTGGTATACAAGCCCAGCATCTCTTTCCTAGCTATTGCCTCAGGTTTCTGTTTATCTAGCTTCCTGGACTACTACTCTTTCCATAACCTGGAGTAAAACTATCATTTGTTGGGGTTTGCTGTAGTTTTTTTTTCTTAGCCAAACAGATTATTCTTTTGTCACTGTGCAATGTTAGCATTTCATTGATAGGTGCTTCTCCAGTTCAATTTTTTTAAAAAAAAGTATTCTACGATATGCAGCGGTATGTAAGATGGGAAAAATATAATTAGCAATATTGGGTTTGACCTCATTTATTTATTTTTAAGGTCCCATTTTTAGATTTAATGTGTTTTGTTCGGGGGATTGTCAAAAATCTATTTACTATTTCCAGGATTCAGATGAAATCCAAGTTAACTATCCAGGAATGTTTGAAGTTATGGCTGATCTACAAGGCAAGTTCCAGATTTTTTCTTAAAAGAGTGAGTTACCAAAGTGATTTGACTTCATTTGGAGAAAGAAATTAGGGTTAATTACGTTATTATTGAACTGTGAAGTATATTGATGAGAATGCATACACTCTTTCAGGAGAAATAGAAACTATATAAATATAGAAGTAATGCATATTTCAGGACTTGCATAATGTAATTTATTCTTGCAGTTTACTTTTCATATCCTGTTAAGATTGATAGTATACAGTTCTGTATATTGTGTTTAACTACTCAAAGTCAAAAACAAAAACCTCTGTATGCTATGCTCACATTTTTAAAATAGGTGGCAAATTCTGAAATTATGCCAAAGAGGTTAATAGTAAAATGGTTAAATTTGGGGGTGGGTATTATTTTTGGACATCCTCCAAATTTGGGGAGGGTTTTAAAAAAGGAAATTATAGCAATTTATCTCTTAGAGGCCGCAGCTCCCTTTCTCCCTGTTAACCACCCTATGGCTGCCTCTACAGGGGGGTGGCAAAGGAGAAGGGGGCATGGGGGTCAGATGACAAAAGCATCATTGGGACATAAGCTCTGTTTCTTTTCTCCAGGCATCACAGCATTGCATGTGTGCCCCCCCCCCCAAAAGTTGTACCCTGCAGCACCACACCATGGCACTATTAGCACCCCCTTCCTTCCTCCATAAAGAGAGTTGAAAAAAGCTGTATGCTGCCCCTTCCCTCAAAAGATTCTCACCTCTGGATTGATCTAGGGTGTGCCAGAGTGACTTTTTTAAATAAATAAGCCATAGCAGTGATCCATGCATTCCAATAGGCATATTGTGGGTCTAAATTACAGATTTGTTGAAGGCCAATTTGCTGGTTCCATTTAAGCTAATCATATATACATCTTTTCTTCCTTAAAATAGTTGAAGGAAATGCTTTGCGAGCTGGGTTGTAACTGTCTTGATTAATCTGTGCATTAAAGAGAAGCATAAGCACAATTAGCTGGAAATAAATTCCACTGAATTTAGTGGAGTTTATCTCCCAGGTGACATATAAAACATTGTTCTGTTGTAGAAGGAAGGTATAATGTATATATTGGAAGTTTTATGCTGCAGGTGTTCCGAAGACATTTTCATAGAAAATTGTTTGCTGGCAAATCATATTAATTGTACTTTTTATTTTGTATAGGTCCCAGTTTTCACTGGGTTCATTAATCTTAGTGTATATAAATTTATAAGGAGATTTTCGAACTAAAGACTACTTATTGGGGCTGCAGTTCTGCATTTTAACCTCATTGTTGATGGATAAATTTGTCTTTGAGTAAGCAGAAATAAGATCTTTGGTGTTATTTTAAAACATTTGCACTCATCTGATCCTATTCATATTGCTGAAATAATATTCAACTGATGGTGTGTGCTGTATCTTCTTTTAAAGCCTAAAACTGTTTTTAGGTATGGGAGAAAGTAATTGCTGTTGGAACAGGAAAACTATGATACATAGAGCGACTATGTTGGCAGCTGCAACAATATATAAAGGTATGAGCTTTCTATTAAGTAACACAGTGGCCTCCAACCTTTTTCGGTGGACTGGCAGAAGTGGCGAGGGAGGGGGAAGAGATGGTTTCGCCCCCGCTCTCCATTTTTACAAAGGCAGCTTCTCACACACGCACTTGCCCATCACCTCCACAACTCAGTTCCGAACAGGTTGTGGCCCACCATAAGGCTGCAGACTGGAGGTTGGGAACCTCTGAAATAATACAACTTTATCACATGGAGGTAGATTTTGTCGCTCTATATTTTCAAGCTTGCTCATTTCATGCAATTTTCTGCCCCACCATCTTTTCTCTGCTGCTTTAAAGCTTGTGAAAAAGTTTGCTTTCTGTAGCAGGTGTACCTCTTTGAGCAGTATTACATACAGTCCTTGAGTTATGACCACAATTGGAGACCAAGTAAAGCAGTGTGGTTTCTAAGCAAATCATTACCTGACTGAACACGATTTTACGACCATTTTAATGTGGTTGCAAATCCAACTTCCCCAATTGAGTTTGCTTGTCAGAAGCTGGCTGGGAAGAATGTAAATTGTGAACGTGTGACCAGAACCTGTTGCAACTGTTATAAATGCAAGCCAGTTCTCAAGTGCCCAAATCGCAATCACATGACCATGGGTTGATGTAACAACCATAATTTTGAGGACAGGTTGTAAGTCACTTTGTCTGAGGCTGTTGTGACTTCAAACTATTTTTTAAAAAAACCAATCATAAGTCAAGGACTACCTATAAAAACATCCCACTCTCTTTTACCACACACAAATATATAGCTTTGGATAATTTTCCCCAGTATAATTTTCCCCAGTATAATTTTCCCCAGTGAGCAAATATAACATTTTTGACTCATTTGTTTAATAGGATTTTATTTATCCGCTTTAGGACTTGTGTGGTGAACAAATCAGGTTTTAAGTCACATTTATGCAGAAATATTGAAAATTCAAAAAGGTTCACTAAGCCAGTGTTTTTCAACCTTTTTTGTGCAAAGGCACACTTTTTTCATGAAAAAAATCACGAGGCACACCACCATTAGAAAATGTTAAAAAAATTTAACTCTGTGCCTTTATATATTGACTATATATAAAGTAATTTTCCCACGGCACACCTTATACTATGTCACGGCACACTAGTGTGCCGCGGCACAGTGGTTGAAAAACACTGCACTAAGCCACAAGGTTCTCCTCCTTTATCAGCTGAGCCAGGGAAATAGGTATGTATTTAGTGTCACAATGCCTGGTATGCCCAAATTTATTTATCCCTTTATTTATTTATCAGCACAAATACAACACAAGCGTAACAAAGGCAACAGTAAAAATATCGGGTTTCTGTATGAATGGTCTCTTGTGACGAGCCGATTGACAGATGANCCTTGGGTGAAAATCCCAATACAACTGGAGCATCACTTGAACACCACCGGCATTGACAAATTCACCATCAGTCAATTGCAAAAGGCAGCTTTACTCGGAACAGCTTACATCCAGCAACAATAACAATGTTTAGGTTAATGGAAAAAAGGACTAGGGGAGACATGATAGCAGAGTTCCAATATCTAAGGGGTTGCCACAAAGAAGAGAGAGTCAAGCTATTCTCCAAGGCACCTGAGGGTAGGACAAGAAGCAATAGGTGGAAAGTAATCAAGGAGAGAAGCAGCTTAGAACTGAGGAGAAATTTCCTGAATGTTAGAACAATTAATCCATGGAACAGAAGTTGCCTCCAGAAGTTGTGAATGCCCCAACACTGGAAGTCTTTAAGAAGATGTTGGATAGCCCTTTGTCTGAAATGGTATAGAGTTTCCTGCCTAGGCAGGGGGTTGGACTAGAAGACCTCCAAGGTCCCTTCCAACTCTGCTATTGTATTGTATTGTATTGAATAGTTCACTTCACGTACAATGCTAAGACACAGCGCAATTAATATGATCAAAACTCAGGTGCTTGGCAACCAGTATCTATTTATGATGGTTGCAGTATCCTGGTATCGCCATTTGCAAAATTTTCCCAGCTGGCTTCTGAGAAGCAAAGTCAATGGGAGAAGCCCAATTCTATAATATGATTCATTTAATAACCAGGGCGAAAAAGGGTGTAAAATTGGGTGCACCTCAGTCAACAACTGCCTTGCTTAGCAGTGGAAATTCTGGTCCCAATTATGATTGTAAGTCAAGGACTAATTGTAGTCCTAGTTTAATGATGAGATGCTATTATTTTAGTTCAAACCTCACTTGAATTCTTGGTTGACTGACTAGGTTTCTATAATTTATTAGGTTCTGTTTAACCCTTTATAACCCACAATACAGCAAAAATATATACAATTACAATAAGAAAATTCACAATATTTCTTTATAACTCTTCCTCAAACAATTTTATCATTTCTTACCTGCCAAGTTTCATTTTGGGGTTAAAATAGGAATCAGTTTTCTGAGGGGTTGAATAGTTAGGAAGGACTTGCACATCTGTGTCCGCTTCCTTCAATACTTCATATTTAGGAGCAAGGGCTAAGGATTATTTTCAGATGAAAGAGTGTTACAGCCCATTTCAGATGATCATTCAAAGTTCCACAAATCACAGATCAGAATCTATCCTATTCTCCTAACTTGCTAAATGATACTAAACAGAGTTTTCACATTGGGACCATATAAAAGCTAGAAAGTGGGTTCCAAAATGTACACATGAATGGAGAGATGGTTCTAGGAACAACTATCTGGTTATTGTTCCAGACTCCTTTTAATAAATTAATAAAGACATGAGTGAATGAAAGGCCCTATTGATGATACCTGCATAGTGTATAAAGTTTAAAACTACCATAATTAGATTCAAACTGAAATATGCGGAGCATTAAAAAGAGACATTGGAAGAAGTAAAACACGATTCTGATAATACTTAAAACTATGTTATGGTGAAATGTCACCACTATGCCATCATATTAAAGAGACTTTAAGCTGTGCTTGGATTCAGTCGCAATCCTTAAGAGATCCTTATTAGAAAAAAAGGATCTAATCATGTGGTAACATATATGACAGTTTTTATAGAAAACCTAGAGCAGAAGAGAGGAAACTTCTAGGTCAGGGATTATTTCTAACGGCATCTCCTACAACTGTTTTACATTGACTACGTCAGCTAGAACTGATAGGCGTTGTAGTTAAGAACACATTGAAAACCAACAGATACACATCACTATTTTGTTTGTTTCCCAATATCAATTCTCAGCAGCTTCAACAATGGTGGCATTGTAGTTCAGAAACTTTTGGGAGCCACAAGTTCACTACTTATGTCTTAAATGTATTTCATAATCAACATTTTAAAATTGTACAATTAAAAAAGAACAATGACTATTTAAGGACATATGCTTTTCCAGAGGAAGGAAGGAAACTACAAAATACGATCCTTGAATAAGTTATTTCCCCTGACAACTAAATCCAAAGATACAATAAAATAATACTTTACTATGTAACATTGTTAATAACTCAGCTTACCCTCTTTAAACAAATAAGGTCAAATAAAGATACATAAAAATTGTACCTAGAAATTACAGAAACCTTGTCCTTTTAAGATGTTCTGAGTTCCTAGACAGAAATATAAAATCATAAAGTTTCACTATTCTAAATTTATAATTTATTCAGTCTATGACACTGAATGTTCAAAATAATGAGAGCTTTATGAAGAAACAACAGAGATATGTTAACTACTTACTTGAAGTAAACCTTGATTCAGTTTCTCCTTTATTTACATGTCGTTTAATATGTCCTACCATGTCACTTCTTCGGCTGATTGTTGCTGAACAGATAATACAGTGATAATGCGACCCCATTTTTATGGATATCTATAATACACACCACATACACATTTAAAGTTCAATAAATGCTTTTATTAAAGTTATACTGTGCCTGTGTCTTATATTTAAAAAAGAACCGTAGATAAATTATATTTTAATCCTTAATTCACCAAGAAAATTTAATTAAAATTAAGGTATTAACACTGATATTTTAATTTATTAAACTCAAAAAACATTTTTTTTAAATCAAAAGTGATACTGTTAGAATACTGCAATGTATGTATGTATGTATGTATGTTGTATTTGTGCTGATAAATAAATAAAGGGAGACTAGTATAGATCTATTTCAAGCTATTTAACTCTCATCAGCTAGCCATACCCTTACTGGGATTCGAACCTGGGCTGTATTACATATTAGGCAGATGTGTTCACCTCTAAGCCACAAGCTCTCCTCCCTTATCAGCTGAGCCAAGGAAATGATTAAGTGTTAAATGATTAAGGGAAGCAGTATGCTCCCTCTCATATTTGG